CTCTCGTTAACCATTGGAATCAGATCATCTTTGTAATTTGTTTGAACAGCATTTTCCCCTTAACTGGGAGATGTGGAGAATCGGGGATACTGTGAAAGTAAAGCTTCTGTGCTTACAAGGCAATTGATCCCCCCCCCCTACATTTAACCCAATACTGATCTCTGTCACCTGGAGATCAATAGTGGGTGATCAGGCCACATCTGGAGGATGACAGTACTACCTCCCGATTAGCTTGGTTTGGAAGAGAATGGATCCCCAGGCCAGGAAGAGGCACCATTGCTGTCCTAGGCAAATCCAACACTACCAGGTCTTCTTGGGTGAAACTGTTTGGAAGGCGAAGAGTGAGAATCCGTTCTTAATGAAGCTTTTTTATTTATTTAGAGAAAGCGTCGGGCACAGCTGCTTACAAGGGTGTTAAAACCCTGCTGTCTTGCAAAATAAATAACGGGCGATCCTAACAGAAGAGAAGAAAGGGAGAGTGTTGGGTCAAGCTGGAGAAAGGAGGGATGTTTATTTGTCAAGCAGCATCAGGAGGTCTTTGCTTGGTTCCCGAATAAATATTTCTAACTGTTGTGGAGGGGCTCGGCCTGCTTTGGCCGGCAGGTGAGTAGCATTCTTGTATTTGCTGAAGAACGCTGTTTAAAGTGCTTTAGGAAAGACGCTGCGCGGAAAGGGCACCAGGAACCATTGCCTGGCTTCTCCAATGAGGAGGTATTTTCAACGGAGACATTTCCTCCCTGCATTCCCTGCCCCTAAGCCAGGATCTCCAACGTGGTGCCTCTGAGCACCACAGCGCCTGCCAACACCTTTCCTGGCAGCAACACCATTTTTTTGGGGGGTGTTGGTTGGTATTTTAATATTTGCAGGGCAGCCACACCCACCTTTTGCTTCTTATTCTGTTTACCTTGTTTGTGGTCAAAACCCAGGGCCCTTTTTGTAGCAGGAACTCCTTTGCATGTTAGGCCACACATCCCTAATGTAGCCAATCCTAATGAGTTCCTGCTGTTGGGTGTGGCCTATTATGCTAATGAGTTCCTGCTGGGCGTGGCCAACTTGGGAGCCAGCCAGAACTCCGTTCCTGTGCGTTCCTGCCCCAAAATAGCCCTGAATATTTGTGTGTGTGTCTGCACCTGGAAGTCATGGTGACCACTAGTGACTGACTCCTACTGGAGGCCTGGAGGATATCCATAGAGGTGGCTGAATAAAGCCTGTCCCTGTCTTCCCAATGTAGTATTCCACGGAGGTCTCCCATCCAAGTCCTTGCCAGAGTTGACCCTGCTTAGCTTACAAGATCTTGAGTGATCGGCAGGGCTCTTTTTGTAGAAAAAGCCTGGGCTATCCCGGTCAGGGCACCAATGCCATTTTTAGGAAGTGGGTGGGGCTTGGGCCCAGGAAGGCTTCTGATTGGCCACTGGAGATCTGATTGGCTATGGAGATTTCTTTAAAATGTTGTTTTGCCTGCAGCTACCACCATGGCACAAGGATCTTCACTATGAAATTGAAGGTAAACTGCGGCAGCCATTTTGTGACTGGCTCTGCCTCCTGTAGCAGTCAGTTTGTGGCAGCCATTTTGGGGCTGCGGACACTACGTTATGTTGGAATTCCAAAGATGTCCATGGGCTCAAAAAGGTTGGGGACTCCTGTCTTAAGCATTTCTCCCATGCGCTGATCAATCTGCTTACATTTTGCATTGTACCTCTGCATCCCAACTCCGTTCTTTGTAACACCCTTCCCACCTTCTGACTGGGATACAAGGGCTCAGGGATCTCCCTTCCTGCTTGTATCTGATGAAGGGAGCTTGGAGTCTCCCTATGGAGAAAGGTTGAAGAGGTTAGGGCTCTTTAGCTTGGAGAAACATCGGCTGAGGGGTGACATGATAGAAGTTTACAAAATTATGCATGGGATAGAGAAGGTAGAGAAAGAAGTCCTTTTCTCCCTTTCTCACAAGATAAGAATTCATGGGCACTCAATGGAATTGCTGAGCAGTAGGTTTAGAACAGATAAAAGGAAGTCCTTCTTCACCCAAAGAGTAATTTACATATGGAATTCATTGCTGCAGGGAGTGGTGGTGGCTATAAGCATAGACAGCTTCAAGAGGGGACTGGAGAAACACATGGAGCAGAGGTCCATGAATGGCTATTAGCCACAAGGCATCGATGGAACACTCTGTTTGGTGTAGTGGTTAAGTGCATGGACTCTAATCTGGGAGAACCGGGTTTGATTCCCCACTCCTCCACTTGCACCAGGCTGGATGACCTTGGGCAAGCCGTAGTTCTGATAAGAGCTGTTCTTGAAACAGAGCAGTTTCTGTCAAGAGCTCTCTCAGCCCCACCTACCTCACAGGGTGTCTGTTGTGGGGAGAGGAAGGGAAAGGAGTTTGTAAGCCGCTCTGAGACACCTTTGGGTAGTGAAGGGCGGGGTATAAATCCAATCTCCTCCCCCTCCTCCTCTGTATGGGGCAGTGATGCTCTGTATCCTTGGTGCTTGGGGGGGCAACAGTGGGAGAGTTTCTGGAGTTCTGGTCCCACTAGTGGACCTTCTGGTGGCACCTGGGTTTTGGCCAATGTGTGACAAAGTGTTGTACTGGATGGGCCATTGACCTGATCCAACATGGCTTCTCTTGGGCTCTCAAGAGCAGACGTCCATCTGTGCTTCCAAGTCAAAATTGGTATTTAATCCAATAGATACTGAGTAGATCCCACCATCCTTCAAGTAGACGTCCTCCAGGTTCAGTGGCTCTTCCTCCAAAGGAAGAGCCACACATTGGAAGACGATCCCTTAGCCTGGAGAATAGGGTTGCCGGCCTTCAGGTGGCACCTGGAGATCTTCTGCTATTACAATTGATCTCCAGACAACCAAGGTCAAGCCTCCTGGAGAAAATGGCTGCTTTGGAGGGTGGGCTCTATGGCATTTATAGTCAACTGTGGCCCCTCCCCTCCCCCAAACTCCACCCTCCTCAGGCTCCGCCCACATAATCTCCAGGTATTTCTCAACTCTGCTGGAGGAAGACTTCAGACCTGAGACAAAAGAAATGGTGGGGTATAACATTTTTAATAAATGAATAAATTGATAAGTTTTGCTCAGTGGAGTGGCAAGACAGGGGTAGGACCCATATCAACATCATGTTCAGATCTCGAAGAGCACAAAAACAATACCCCAGTGAATTACAGAAAATTACAGAACCTTGGAAGGAGAGACTTCTGGAGATGACAGCACTTCCAAGAGGGGGGATATTCCAGAGATTGTTCCTCCCTCCTTCTGTTAAGAGGCCCCATGTTGCATGCGTGTGTAGAAAGTTCCATCAAGTCACAACTGACTAATGGCGACCCCTTCCTGGTCTTTACAAGGCGAGAGACGTTCAGATGTGGTTTGCCATTGCCTGCCTCTACGTAGCAAGCCTGGACCTTCCTTGGTGCTCTCCCCTCCGAACACTGATCAGGGTTGACCTTCCTTAGCTTCTGAGATCTGATGAGATCAGGCTAGCCTGGGCCATCCAGGTCAAAGCAAGAGATGAACAGAGGTGGTTTTGCCATTGCCT